CAGCAGGTACTGTGAGCTCAGGGTCTCCACCGCTCACCACTTGACTGCCCTGCTCTCCAGGACCCAAGGGCCATCTCAGAGGCACCGAGAGCTTGGCCAGGCTCTGGTAGCTGCCTTGATGGTGACCTGCAGGCTTGGACTTCCGATCCCACTGGAGGCCCAGGTTCCCTCTCCATCTCCTACGGGCCCCTCAGCCAGCTCCTCCTCAGTCAGGTCCTGGAACCCGGTAGGCATGCAACAACCATTTGTATTAATCTGAGACAGAGTGATCCCTTCCCTGTAATGGAAAGTGCAAACCTCTGAGCCACTCTGAGAGGAAGAATTCCCAACTCCATTGGGACAACCTCTAGAACAGCCTCTCTGAGGAGAGACCCAGAGAACATGCCCAGATAGGGCCTGGAGTGGCACCGAATGCAAGAGCAGATGCCAGCCAGTGTGGGGTAATGACAGTGAGCCATGATTGTACCAATGCACTCCAGCGTAGGCGGCAAAGTAAGACCCTAATGCAAAAAAAAAAAAAAAAAAAAGACAGGAAGAAAGAATATAGCAGAGAACAAGACAGACAGGTTCCTGGAGCTTACCTTAAAATCCTAAAGTCTCAAGCAGGAAAACACCTTGAAAAAGTTCTAACCCATTCTACACTACAAACATTTCCCAGCCAACGCCTGCATCTCCTCTGTCAAGGTCACCAGTTGACGCACCGACATCTTCAAATGATGGGGAGCCTGCCCCCTCCGCAGGCAGACGCAATGCACTGAAACCTCCAGATGGCCATAGTGAGGACCCCGCAGGCATCTCTCCCCACCCAGCCTATGAAGAGTCTTCCACAACGGAGTCAATAGAGTATTAAAAACAATATTAGGATGTGCACATCTTATTTTACATCAAGGCAAAATATGAGGCTTCATTTCTCTGCTTCTGAGACAACTGCTTGGGACCAAATAAAACGAGTTGGCTCTGCTCTCATATGCCCAGAGGTCCCCAAGGCCCTGAGTCTCTGCCACCGTCAGTCCTGTACATGGTTTCCCTCCCAATGATTAGAGCCCAGTGGGTTCTGTGTCCCCTGATGACCCCGGATCTCTTGTCAGACCACACCTCTAAGGGACAGGGAGGGCTGTGGTTGCAGGGCAGATGAGCCACATTGGATGGAGAATCCAGGCTTCAGGGAGCCTCTCCAGCCTTGAGCCAGCCCAGGACGGGTGTCAAGGAGGGCCAGACAGCAAAGGTGCTTCCGCCTGGTAGGAACCTGGGGGTGCCAGAAGCCAGGAGCAGCACCTTGGCCGGGTTACCCGGGCTCAGACCCTGGTAGGACCCCGCCCCTTCCCCACGTGTCCCCACGTTTTCTGATGAGGCCTTGCAGCCATGTGGGCGGCAGCCGGGATGCATTTCTAAGGAATAGGAGCCGGCAGGCGAGCCAGATGGAAGCAATTACCAGAGGGAAAGCGGGAGAGGTGGGGAGGGAGGGGAGTGGAAGGGGGCCTGCAGGGAAGGAGGGAAGGAGGAAGAAGGGAGGAGAACCCTGCCCTGTCCTGCCCAACTGAGAGGGTTCACAAGCCCAACGCCTGGGCTCAGCGGGATGGGCAGGCCACGATGTGGCATTCAGACACATGGAGGCCTGGGTGTATGCTCCACCTTTGACATTTACACGCTGCTACCTTGAGCAAACCCCTTCACACCTCTGAACCTAGGCCTCTTTCTTCATCCATCACAGGGCCAGATGGGCAAGCTCAGGGGAGCTTTGAGAACTGGGCTAAAAGTGCTGGTTTTAAAAACAGGCTTGGACCTGAGTCCTCGCTCAGTTGCTGAGGAGCTGTGTGACCTTGGCCAAGTAGTTGACTCCAAGCTTCCATTTCTTCACTTACAAATGGGGCTTCATAAAAGGATTGTATGAGGCTCACATCAAGTGAGGTGAATAAAGTGTCTAACAAACTTTCTAAGTCCATTGAGCCAGGCTTTTAATAAACCTGATAAATGGGATCAATGGGAACTATTTTTGTTATTTGCTAAGACCTTTTTTATGAGGAGGACAGACGTTCACCTATGCTGCAACTGGCAGAGGACACAGGGCAGACCGAGGGTACAGGCAGCCTCACTGCAGTGCCTGGAACCAGCACCCTGGAGGAAGCTTCGGACCCAAGACAGAAACACAACAGTGTGCTGGCCCAGGACTCTCCGAACTGGAGCCTGGACTCCTCCTAGCTGCCTCCTAGATCCTGAGGACCCTAACATCCTCACTTCCCTCACTGGCTTCAAAGAGCTGCAGGTAGGAAGAAGGGACTATCCTACACTTCCAGATGCTTCTGTGGCCAGGCCTTTCTCACACTCGAGGCCCAGGTGGGAAACCGAGGGTCTCGCCAGACCCACACCTCACCCCACCCCAACAGCAGCACCCTCCTCCCTGCTTGGCCAGGAGCAGAACCCAGGGCTTCGAAGTCTGGAACAATCACATCATCTTTCTGCATGGCAGTGTGGACGGGGGACAGAGATGGGGCTGTGGCCTGGTTAGAGATCTCTTGGATCAGTGGATCCAAGGTTAAAAGTGGATCAGCCAAGGGTAAAAGAAAACCAGCAGCTGCAGACACTCACACCCTCCCACCCTGCAAAGCAACAACCCAAGCAACCCCTTGGTGGAGTTTCGCCCTTGCGGAGCTCAGGGTCTCCAATCAGAAGCCCACAGCACTTGGGTTGTTGCTCCCACTTGAGGCTACATCTAACCACTTCCTCCATCTGTAGAATAAAGAACACCATTCATACACCACCCTCCCCCAGAATGTGGTAGGGGTTAGGAGTGATTCTGAGGCCCGGGACAACCAGTAACTCATCCAGAGGTGATCAGAACACTCACACACTAGCACTAAACACCTCTGGGAAGGGGGCAACAAAGGAGAGAGGGGAACCAATAACGACAGTCACCAAATCTGCCTGCCCCAGCCAGTTCCTAATGAAAATCAAAAGCAGTCGGGCGCAGTGGCTCAGTCTGTCATCCCAGCATTTTGGGAGGCCAAGGTGAGAGGATTGCCTGAACCCGGAGATTCGAGACCAGTCTGGGCAACTTGGTGAGACCTTGTCTCTATAATAAATCAAAAAAAAAAAAAAAAAAAAAGCTTCGGGTCAAGGCCCCGGGTCTTGAGAAGGAAGGAGGATTCTGAAGGTGAGGAGAACAAGAAGCAGGAGCTAAACCACTGGCATCAGCTTGTTTCAGGAAAATGTCCAACAGCCAGCCTGGTGTAACTGAGCAGTGGGAGAGGGCGGCAGGAGCTGTGAACTCAGGGGCTCCACCACTCACCACTTGACTGCCCTGCTCTCCAGCATCCAAGGGCCATCTCAGAGACACCAAGAACTTGGCCAGGCTCTGGCAGTTGTCTTGATGGCGATCTGTAGGCTTGGACTTCAGATCCCACTGGAGGCCCAAGCTCCCTCTCCATCCCCTACAGGCCCTTCAGCTGGCTCCTCTTCAGTCAGGGCCTGGAACCCGGACTAGGCATGCAACAAACCTTTGTATTAGTCTGAGGCAGAGAGATCTCTTCCTTGCTATGGAAAGTGTAAACCTCTGAGCCACTCTGAGAGGAAGAATTCCCATCTCCATTGGGACAACTTCTAGAACAGCCTCTCTGAAGAGAGACCCAGAGAATGTGCCTAGGTAGGGCCCAGGGTGACACTCAATGCAAGAGCAGATGCCAGCCAGTATGGGGTAACGACAGAACGGCCACAGCTCAAGATGGAGCACAGAAAGGGGGTCTGGCCTCTCCGTTCCTGTCAGCGAAGGGAGGGCCTTTCCAGTATTTCTTACAACTCCAGAAAGGAACAGATTCTTGGTCCTGCCCAAAAAATCAGATCCTCAGAGTCTTGTTGGAATGGGTAGAGGGGCCAAGGTACTCTGTTCCTGAGGGGTGGGGAGTGAGTCACCGCTTTGGGTAGGGGTAGGGGTGAGGGAGGGGAGAGAAGACAGCCCAAAGGTGCCATGGGTTTCCTCAGCCAGGGCCCTCAACGTGCAGGGAAGGGCAGCCCTGTTGTCTTTGGGCAGCAACTCACTTCCAAGCTAAAGATGCCCTCTCCGCCCAAAGTCCAAGCAGGCAACGCCTAATACACTTTTCTAACTTCTTCCATCTGCGCCCCCAACCTCCATTGTCATCTAGGATTCTGGGGGGCTCTCCCTCCACTTCTCCAGAGCCCAGGGCCATTGAGATCGCCCAGCCAGCTCAATAGAGCAGGGCATGAGGAGCAATCTGGAAGTGGGGACAGGAAAAGAGCAGAAAATGGGTCAGAGGAATCTGGAACACCTCAGCTTGGGCAGGGGGCATTCTCAGCCCAGCTCCCACAAAGCAAAAAAGCCCAAGTTAACTTCTAGGCCCCAAACAGCTGGCACCTCCCAGGCGCTCCCACCCTCCCACCCAATGTAGGACTGCTTCCACACAACTCAGGATAGCGTGACACTGGTGTGTACCTCTTGTGAGATCCCAGCCTGTACCAGGCCCACTCCCAAGGTTCCAGAAAGAACAAGTCTGCCTGAACTTGGCTTCCACACTGTGCCTCCCTCAGGCGGTGGAAAGCACAGGCTTCCCTGAGAAGCCTGTGGGTGGCCATGAGGTCAGACAGGGCACAGCTAGGCACCCAAACACTGCCTACACCCCCAGCCTTCTGGCAGCAGCCCCCTAAGCCTTGGGACCCAGGTCTGGGGGAACACAGGAGGCAACGGGTAGGTCAGGCCTCACACCATTCAGCCTGAGCCTCCCCCAGGACTGCAAATAGAGGGGGCAGTGCTGGCAGACATGTTGGCACTTCTGGGCCAGCCAGGAGGCCCCTGCCAGCAGGGGCACCAAGGAGGCACCCAGAGCAGACAGCTGAGCCCAGGGGCTTTGCCCCCAGATCTAACTCACCCTTCTCCAACTCCATCCCTCCCCAGACAGCTTTAAGGGCAGCTCTGAGGCAGGGTGGCCCAGGCCCAAAGACCCCCCACAGCATGGCCCTGGGCACAGCCAGCCTCCTGCTGGCAACCCCACCCTTGGGCTCTGCTCAGCGACCTTGCGACCCCCGCACACAGATGGACCCCGCAAAGCCTGTCACCAACAGCAAAGCCAACTCACATGTGCTGGACTTGATGGGGGGCAGCTGTGGGAGAAACCATCGCTCAGAGGATGCTGGCGGTGGGGGGCGCCTCTTCAGCCCCGGCGCAGGGCTGGGGTGGAGAGAAACTTTCCGGAGAAGAGGACTGTCCTGTTTGCTCACTCCACGGGAGCGAGGAGGATCCGGCTTCCCGCGAAAATCTGGTCCAGGAAAAGGGACCCGGGAAGCAGCTCCCCGGGGCTGTGGTCATCCCACCCCGCCC